TTGGTATTCCGTAGTTTGCAAAGATAACACAAAGCTCCTTGTCCAAAAATACTGGGCTTTAGAAAAGAAGAGAGCTCCCTGGGAACCCTGGTGGCCTGAGAGGCAGGGAAGAGTCCGTGAGTGGAGGAAGAGTGTGATTAAATTTCCCGAGGGTGGGAGGGGCAGTTGTGTGCCCCTGGGATTGTCTTGCATGGGGCCGCCAATGGCTGCATGGAGGCAGGAAGATGGCGTTCGAAGACCTGGCCTCCCCCACGTCGGGGCAGCTGCTCCAGCTCGCCCTGGGAGTGGGCAAGAAAGAGAGAACACGCAGGAGGAAAGAGATGTGGGTTCTCATTAGACAAGTGGGTCAGATTCTTCCTCTATTTTGGTCTGCACTGATCTCTTTACTTACAGTCTTCATAATCCTGTGACCCTGAAGACCCTACGGGTGACACTCATTGTGCTTAGGAAATATCTGCGGTGGTCAGCAGGGTGAGGCCCTGTTCACAGCAAGGGAAACGAAGTTGTGTTCCTCTGCTCTGGGATTTTGGTCAGTAACAGTGGAGCAGTCCATATAAACCTACTTAACAGATTTTTTTTTTCCTCTAATAAAAAGATGATTCTATTTTCTAAAGATGCTCCTCTGGAATTGCTCCCAGTAAACTTGAAAAAAAAATGTAGTGGATAATTTATTAGGTCACATTTACTGATTTACTGTCTGATTCTTATTGGCTGATAGTTGGCGTCAGGAACCAGGCTTCTTGGTGAGTAACCAAACTGAGGATCAACCCACTCTTTGGGTGTGTAAAATAAGCCCATTTAGATGAATCTCATGAATTTTCATCATGAACTAGTAAAATCAGAGGTCACTAGGAAACCAAAATAAACACACAGTATCCTTCCTCATGGTCGATATCAAAGAGCCTAGTCAAATGAATTATGAAGAGAGAAATTATACTTTTTAATCCCCAGTGCTTTTATTCAGCCATGAATGGTATTAATTCAGGGCACTTGTAAAAAGCATTTTCAAGAGGAGACTGGAAGCAAGACTAAGTAGGTACATGCCGGCAGCATAAAGAGAGTTGAATCTAATTATTGTAGAATCTTAGAGATAACCTGAGTGCTGCCTAATTGCATAGAACACATTTTATTGACTCTTTTCTATGTGTAAAGCATGCAGACTGTGTGTAAGGTACATGCCTATTTTCTACGGGCAAAACCCAGAATCACCCAGAGGGCTCTTTATCACACAAGTGGTGGAGTCCCATCCCCAGAGTTTCTGACTCTGAGTTTCTGGGGTGGGCTTGAGAATTGGCATTTCTAGCAAGTTCCCAGGGTCTGCTGATGCTGCTGGTTCAAGATCATAGTGAGAACCACTCTACACCCTCGTGGAGTGGGAGGATTATTCCAGGGGTCACTTGAGCCCTTCTAATGGTATGGGTTGTGGAAACAGCCAATCAGCCAAGCAGCTAAGGACAGCTTTCTTAGGGTTCACTGACACTGCGCTGAAAAGTGCTCCCCAGAAACTCCCTGGTCCTAATTCTGCTGGCTGGAATTGCTCTGGACACACCTAATCCTCATTTAATAAATGCCCATGCACATTCATCCTAAGAAAAAGGGCAGAGAGGGGTCTGTTTGGCAGATAACATTGTTATGTTCCATGCTGGGAATGGCTGTGTAATCTACTTTGCTAACAACAAATTTAAACGTTAAAAACTGGGGGTGTACATACACTACTAGAAAGGGTACAAATCTTACATATACAGCTTGATAGATTTTTACATATGTATACACCCGTACAACTGCCTTTCACATCAAGACATGGAATATTTCACCCTTCCTCAAAATTACCCTGTGCTCTTTCTGGTCAGTAGCTGCCCCTCAAAGGCCAGCACTTTTCTTTTCCAGTAGCCATAGATATTTCATGCTCCTCTTGAACTTTATGCAGATGGAAGCAGAGAGAACATGCCCTTTTGTGTCTGGTATTTTCACTGATGACGACTGTGAGATTCAACCATGTTCTAAATAGCAGTATTCTTTTGTTTTTATTGCCTTGTGGTATCCCAAGTTTGACTTGTGTTTATAGTTGTATATTTAATTACTCCTACTTTTTTTTTTCGGAGATGGAGTTTTGCTCTTTTTGCCCAGGCTGGAGTGCAATGGCACAATCTCAGCTCACTGCAACCTCTGCCTCCCCAGTTCGAGCAATTCTCCTGCCTCAGCCTCCTGAGCAGCTGGGATTACAGATGCCTGCCACCACACCTGACTAATTTTTTGTGTTTTTATTAGAGATGAGGTTTCACTGTGTTGGTCAGGCTGGTCTTGAACTCTTGACCTCAGGTGATCCACCCACCTTGGCCTCTCAAAGATGATAGGCGTGAGCCACTGTGCCTGGCCCCTCCTCCTATTTTATATAGTTAAGACTGGAAATTGTTTGGCTCTGTATCCCCACCCAAATCACATCTGGAGTTGTAATCCCCTTGTGTCAGAGGAGGGGCTGGTGGGAGGTGATTGGATCACAGAGGTGAATTTCCCTTTGCTGGTCTCATGATAGTGAGTGAGTTCTCATAGATCTGATGGTTGAAAAGTCTGGCGCTTCCCCCTTCTCTCTCTCCTGCTGCCATGTAAGATGTGCCTGCTTCCCTTTCACTTTCCAAAATGATTGTAAGTTTCCTGAGGCCTCCCTAGCCATGTGGAACTGTGAGTCAATTAAACCTATTTTCTGTATAAATTACCCAGTTTCAGGTACTTCTTTATAGCAGTGTAAAAACAGACGAATATAGTAATGATATAAGCTAGCATGAGTGCTGACTGTGAGATGGAATGGTGCTAAGTACATGACATCACTTGATCTTTTCAATCCTGTGAGATTGGTATTATCATTAATCCATTTTACAGATGAGATAACCAACGCTCAGTAACTTGCCCAAAGCTTCACAGCTAATAAGAAGTGAAACCAATATTTAAATACAGGTCTCTGACCATGATCCTGTGCTCTTAGCTGATATATTATGATGCCTGTCACTCTGGGTGCTTTGACAATGACCATCAGTGAGAGACTGACCCTGGACAGCATGCAGTTTCCTTTGATTTCAAGGACTTTTCCTTTTTCAGCACCCTCCTCTTTCTCCTGTTTAATGGTTCTAAGGCATCTCGATCATGCTGGTGTTGACCTGGATTGTGCCACCTCTCCATGTACTGTCTGGATTTTCCCAGCTCCTTCAGATGAGCAGATCTGTGGACGCATGTTCTCTCTTACGTAACTGTCTCCCTACAGGAATAAACTTTTCTCTTTGCTGGCTCTCTGATCACTTCCAAAATCCCTGCCCTTGAAAAGTGCAAATAATAGAAGAATCTGTTGTACCTTGTGGTTCCTGTTAAGGTTACACCTAAATTGTCTCTGAAAAAAAAATTGTCTATTTTGTTGAAGGAAATGTTTAAACTTCCTTTGAATTTTGTGTCTAATAAACCCTCAGCAGAAGGAAGTTTATTTTTAAGTACAAATTACTGTGGCCACTTAACGCCTCATTTCCTTTTCCATTTTGCTAATTGGAGATGGGAAATTACTGGTCAGCCTATTTCGTGCTATCAACTTGAGTACCCTTAAAAAGAAAATCAGGCTTTGCAGCAGTTTAAGTCTGGCTTTGATTCAGTATCTGGATAAAAAGCTTCCACATGCGCTTATGATTAAGAATTCTTGTTTATATTTTCATATTCTCCACGGTGCACGCAGATCTCATCCTTTGGGTGTTTTTGCTAAATACATAGATATGGTGTTGTTTGGGTTATAAACGTGAGTCGTTTGCTAAATAATTCTCTGTGTTCTAATAGGAAATGCTGGACAGGAGTAAAGATAGGATGAAGTGCTTAAACTGTCATCACACTCAGTTTTCGTAAACCACGTAACACCCACTTATCTGTTTGTCTTTCTGTAATTCTAATTTCTACCCCAAAGTTCATGCTAAAAAGCTTTGAGGATTTTTTTCTTTTAAATGAGCCATAGGCTGGGCATGGTGGCTCATGCCTATACTCCTAGAATTTTGGGAGGCTGAGGCAAGGCGGATAGCTTGAGCCAAGGAGTTCAAGACTAGCCTGGGCAACATAGCCAGACCCTGTCTCTACAAAAAACAAAAATTACCCAAGTATGGTGGTGTGTGCCTGTAGTCCCAGCTAGTTGGGAGGCTGAGGTGAGAGGATCACTTGAGCCCAGGAGTTCGAGGCTGTAGTGAGCTGTGATTGCGCCACTGTACGCTGGGTGACAGAGTGAGACCCTGTCTCAAAAAAAAAAAAAAAAAAAAAAGAATACAGAATAAGAGATAAGAGACAGGACAAATGACCCATTGTCACATACATGTAGCATCAGAAAAGAGTTGGGGGCAAAGATACTAGAGAGTAACAGAAGCAAGAAACAGAAAGGAAATGTAATTGGGGACTCTGTTCTGATCCTGATTCAAACACATCAACCATACCAAGACCCCCCCCTTTTTTTTTTAGAGAATCAGAGAAATTGAAATACAAACTGAGAATTAGGTAATAATAGGGCATTGAGCATTAATTTTGTTACTTGTGATAATGGTCTTGTGATTATGTTAGTGAAAGAGTTCTTATAGGTAAAGACACACACAGGAGTATTTATGGATGAAATATGGTTTCTGGTATTTGTTTTAAAATACTCTACTAAAAAATGGCGGGGGAATAGATAAAAACAGTTACAAAATATTGGTAATGTGCCGGTGGTTGTTAAAGTTGGCTGATGGGTACACGGGGTTCATTTGACTATTCTCTCTACTTTCGTGTGTTTTAAAAATTTTCACAAGAAAAGGTTCAAAAGGAGGCATAAAAGGGAACGACATGATGACATATCTCTCGCATTGTGTTGTATGAGTACAGTCTCAGAAGTTCCTGTGAAAGACAAGCCTGTAATACAGCGAAATCTAACCCTCTGTGTCTGCAAACGGTTCTTATTTCTTTTTGGAAAAATATATATTCAGTTATTAATTATGTTTCTATCTTGTTTGTAGATGATTCTGGGCCTCCTCCATCTACCGTCATCAACCAAAATGAGACGTTCGCCCACATCCTTTTTAAACCTAGTGTAGTACAGCAAGCCAAGATTGCCCAGAATGGAATTCTGGGGGACTTTATCATCAGATATGATGTCAAGAGGGAACAGAGCATTGGGGACATCCAGGTAATGGGATCGTTGTTGCTATTTCATGTTGGTTGGTTGATAGTTTAGATAGACTCAGACAGTGGATTCCAATATTTACCTATGGGAGAGAGAACTTTCTGCTTTTTAGTAAATTTGTTTTAACCCAAAATATTTCTTCAAAGAGACTAGTGGTATTCTTTTGCCGAGGGTACCTATTTCTGGCTTCAGTAATCTGCAGAGCAAGTGAAATCTGTAACATAAAGCTCCCTGTGGTGTTTTAGATGAAATTAGAATTTTGCTTCATGTTCCATTTTGTTTTATTTTATTTTTGAGACTGAGTCTTACTCTGTCACCCAGGCTGGAGTGCAATGGATGATCTCGGCTCACTGCAACCTCCGCCTTCCAAGTTCAAGTGATTCTTGTGCCTCAGCCTCCTGAGTAGCTAGGATTATAGGCACCCACTACCTTGCCTGGCTAATTTTTGTATTTTTAGTAGAGATGAGATTTCACCATGTTGGCCAGGCCGGTCTCAAACTCCTGACCTCAAGTGATCTGCCTGTCTCAGCCTCCCAAAGTGCTGGAATTACAGATGTGAGCCACTGCGCCCGGCCCATGTTCCATTGTAATTGAAAGAGACTGCTCATTTCCCTTTAGGTCTTATTGTTCCAGAGACTGGGTAGGGATATTAAAACCTATTAATTTCATCCAGAATGTAGAGACTCTTGATGTCTCAACTTGTAAGATGCTTCGTAAAAAAGAGATATTGAAGGAAGCAGGATTCTCAAGTAGCAAAGGTCTGGGGGATGGATAATTAAACTTGAACTGGTAGTCATCACTGATCAATTTTAAAGGGAAGAGTCTACCCTTATGCAGATTAAATTAGCAATTAGTTCTCTTGGAAGGATCAGGGCCTTAGATAATTTTACTCCAGGTGTGGAATCTGACCCTAGACCTGTATCATGCTTTAACTTTTAGAAATTCAATAGACTAACGCACTTTAGGTATTTTTCCTCCCTATTCCAGGTACTAGTGTTTGTACTTTCTTTTCCCTCCACCAGGTTCTAAATGGCTATTTTGTGCACTACTTTGCACCTAAAGACCTTCCTCCTTTACCCAAGAATGTGGTCTTCGTGCTTGACAGCAGTGCGTCCATGGTAGGAACCAAACTCCGGCAGGTGAGTGAGTGCCAACCGCCCATTGCTCCTCGCTCGTTTTTGCCTGGGACAATGACCTGCTTTGTGAATAAAGTTCAGTAGACGCCAAGCGTCAGCTTTGCCATCCAGCGATTCCTGCCTATGAACATTCCTGAGCAGATTCAGTTAAGTCATTGACATAAACTATCATTTCAGCTGGTGGTTTTAAGGGAGCAGAGGGACATGCTGCAGAAACACCTTGAAATAAAGGGCATTGGCAGAGTGGGTAACATAAGTGAGACAGGAATACATCCACAGGACCAGTCCTCAGCACTGTTGTTGACGGGAGTAATTCTGTTCAGTGATGATTCCGCTGAGAACAGTGGATGGAATCATTGGAAGCCTCTGTGGCCTATCCTTAGAACAAAGAACTCAGGTCTCGGTAAATCAGGACTGATGTTGTCACAGAATTTAGGATGAATCTTAAAATTCCAGGGTGGTGGGGAGACATTCAGAGGTCATGTAGTTTATGCTGAAAAATTAAATTTCCTGAGAATATGACTATACTTTTCTTAAAATCACTAGAAAAGATTATTTCTTACCTTATTCTGGTGTCGTAAATGTCAGCATCTTGCATTTATGATACATTTCAAACTCACATAATAGAAAACAGAGCTACTGGCTGACAGACCAGCTAATATCTCTACATTTATCGAAAACATAAATCTCCTAGTTTGTCTTTCAAAATTCATTATCTATTTAATTTAATTTGTTTTTTTGAGGTGGAGTTTTGCTCTCGTTGCCCAGGCTGGAGTGCAATGACGCAATCTCAGCTCACTGAATCTCTGCCTCCTGGATTGAAGAGATTCTCCTACCTTAGCCTGCCATGTAGCTGGGAGCACAGCCATGCCCCACTATACCTGGCTAATTTTTGTATTTTTAGTAAAGACGGGGTTTTATCGTGTTGGCCAGGCTGGTCTAGAACTCCTGGCTTTAGGTGATCCACCTGCCTTGGCCTCCCAAAGTGCTAGGATTACAGGCGTGAGCCACCATGCCTGGCCTATTTTATTTTTTTAATCAATTCACAATGCATTTGTGATTAATGAGTGAGATACTATCTCCAATCTCATACAAACACTCTATCTCGCCTGCGTCCACCTCTAGATCCTGCCTCACATGTACTTGAAACTACTCCTAGCAGATAAACTATTACAACTATTTTCTCTCAATCTACTACTTTATAAAATGGCATATTTGGCCATTTATATTTTAAAAATCCTGCAGTGAAATCTATGTCTTCTACATGGCATCTGGTTTTCCTCCATTCCAATAGAACAAGAAATATGTTCCAAAATACGATGTGAGACTAGGGTTTAACTATTTTCTTTTAGAGCCGGGGTATTCAATCTTTTGGCTTCTCTGAGCCACATTGGAAGAATTATCTTGAACCACACATAAAATACACTCACACTAACAATAGCTGATGAGCTAAAAAAAAAAAAAAATCACAAAAAAATCTCACAATACTTTAAGAAAGTTTATGAATCTGTGTTGGGTGGTATTCAAAGCCATCCTGGACTGCCTATAGCCTGCAGCAGACAAGCTTGTTTTAGAGGAAAGCTAAAGATAATGTCTAACTAATGTAGGAGGTGGATAACCTTGCCCTGCGAATCAGCTTCTAGTGATTCTTTAGTGTCACTTGCTCGTCTGGAGCTCAACCTGCCAACTGCTCCAAGTTTATGACTTTCTTCCTTCTGCCTTCCTGATTTTCCATCTGGGGTTCCTTTACTTTTGCATGAAGAACATCCATGAGTATCTTTTTAAAAGATTGGAATCTGCTGGTGAAGAATTCTCTACCTTTGTCTGAAAATGATATATTTTATTTTTAGTCTTTAAGGATCGTTTTTACTAGGTATGGTATTCTACATTGGCAGTGATCGAATGATGGACATAGTATTTGAAAATCTGGGACAGTGTGGTGGCTCACGCCTGTAATCCCAGCACTTTGGGAGGCCGAGGTGAGAGGATCATGAGGTCAGGAGTTCGAGGCCAGCCTGGCCAACATGGAGAAACCCTGTCATTACTAAAAATACAAAAATGAGCTGGGCGTGGTGGTGTGTGCCTGTAGTCCCTGCTACTCAGGAGTCTGAGGTAGGAGAATTGCTTGACCCCGGGAGGCAGAGGTTGCAGCGAACCAAGATCATGCCACTCACTGCACCACAATCTGGGTGACAGAGCAAGACTCTGTCTCAAAAAAAAAAAAAAAAATCTGTTTGTAGGAACAGTTTGAGCCTAGGATGATGGTCTATTCCTCTAGAGAAGGTTTGGGGTTGTTTCTGTCACGTACCTGGGGAATTAAAACCTGGGATTACTTTAGTCCATTTTCAGGGGTTGAGGTGTTTGGGCAGCCCAGATGGCTGGAAGCTGGACTGCAGTCCTTTTAAGAGCTGGTATATTTCTGTTTTGCACACAGTGTAGAGGGTTTGCCAGAGTACCCTCCAAGCTACAAAGGGGATACTCAGCCTCTCAGGTATCTCTTCGGCTTGACAAACATCCTTTAGACACAAACAGTTCCAAATGCTGATCTCACCTCTTAAAATCTGCATCTTCTCTCAGATTTTTTTTTTTTTTTGACAGAGTCTCACTCTGCTGTCCAGGCTGGAGGGCAGTGGTGCAATCTCAGCCCGCTGCAACCTCCGCCTCAAGGGTTCAAGCCATTCTCCTGCCTCAGCCTCCTGAGTAGCTGGGACTACAGGTGCATGCCACCATGCCCGGCTAATTTTTGTATTTTTACTAGTGATGGGGTTTCACCATGTTAGCCAGGCTGGTCTCAATCTCTTGACCTCTTGATCTGCTCACCTCGGCCTCCCAAAGTTCTGGGATTACAGGTGTGAGCCACAGTGGGAGGCCACATTTTCTTCTTTCTCACTGTTTTGTTTGCTCTCTGTTACTTGAAAGAATTTTTTTTTTAACCCCATTTGTTTAGCTTTTTTAGTTCTTACTGGGAAGCCAAAGAAAATGTTTGTTTCACTTCTTTTTCAAATCTCTGTGATGTTTTAGGGTTTTCAGTTTTTTTACAAAGTTTTGAATCTTTTATATTTTCTCAAGCACAGTAAACATGTGCTTATCTGTGTCTGCTAAATCCAAACTTGAGGGGGTCCCTTAGGGTTCAAATTACTTACAGATTTCTCAAAGATTTTCCCCAAAGTGTTCATCACACCAAAGTAAAGCATTCTCTTATAGTGGCTGATATGTATTGACATTTTAGAGGCCACACCAGCCTTTCCTTCTTTATCAAATACCTTGTAATGTTCTTTGCATTATGTGCTACAAGTTATTATTATTATTATTATTATTATTATTTCGATATGGAGTCTTGTCATATCAAGTCTGTCATATGGAGTCTGTCACCCAGGCTGGAGTGTAGTGGTATGATCTTGGCTCACTGCAACTTCTGCCTCCTGGGTTCAAGTGAGTCTCCTGCCTCAGCCTCCTGAGTGGCTGGAACTTTGTGTTTTTAGTAGAGATGAGATTTCGCCATGTTGACCAGGCTGGTTTTGAACTCCTGACCTCAGGTGATCTGCCCACCTCAGCCTCCCAAAGTGTTGGGATTACAGGTCTGAGCCACCACGCTCGGCCCTATGTACTACAAGTTCCTAAATGCCATTTATTGACCAAGTTGTTTTATGACTTTGATGGTTACATAATAGACATTGACAGAGGAATAATCATGGCTGCTTTTAAGACCACTGTGGGCCACAGAATACAGTGTTCATTAGGCTGACGTATGATCGGTATGATAATTCCCATTTGGATTTTGAATCACTTAACAGTTACTGGGTGGGTGCCATGTGCTAGATTTCCCCTGGCTTCTTATTTAATTCCTAGATACCTATGAATCTTCAGATGTTCTTTCTTTTCCTTAAAAAAGAAAAAGCTTTTTGGGGGCAGGGTTTCTATTTTCTCTGAACAAACATAACTTACTGAAGATATTTATGATTAATATATATATTGATATATTAATATTAATTCTGAATTAATATTCCTTGACTGAATTCCAGTCTGAATTCCTTGACTACCGAATAGTTGGTATTCTGGTGTTTTTATTCACCACCATATCGTGAATACATCTTATGTTGTTAAATCTTCTTTAAAAACCTGATTCTAATGGCCAGAGAGCAACACTGCTGAATAGATGCTTCTGTGAGAGTGGGAATGTTTCACACACGTGCTGTCCAGTACAGCAGCCACTCACCTCATGTGGGTGTTGAGCAAGTCAAGTTTGGCTAATGCAAGTGAGGAACAGAATTTTTTTTTTTTTATTGCATTTTAGGTTTTGGGGTACATGTGATGAACATGCAAGATTGTTGCATAGGTACACACATGGCAGTGTGCTTTGCTGCCTTCCGTCCCCTCACCTGTATCTGTCATTTCTCCCCATGCTATCTCTTCCCACCTCCCCACCCCCCGCCCCTCCCCCATTTCCCCCCAAAGGAACAGAATTTTTAATGTTATTTAATTTTAATAAATTTAAATATAGATTTAAATATAAATTTTAATAAATTTAAATCTATATTTAAATTTATTAAAATTAAATCACATTAAACATTTAAATTTAAATTTAGCTATATGTGGCCAGTAGTTACCATATGGGAGTATGTAGCTGCAGAATATTTATTCACCGTATCTCCCATCAGAGACTTTTGAGCCATTTCCATTTTTTGCAGTTACGAACTCCATCGGTATGACTGCCTTCAGGTAGAAATCCCTGATGCATGCCCTGTCATTTTCTTAAATTAGATTCTAAAAATTGGAATTACTGGGGCAAAGGATATCAACTCATTTGTGGGTCTGGTACATATTTCAAAAACATTTTCTAAAAAGTCTGTGCCAATTTATAGTATTTACAACTGTTACCAGACTAGGAATTCCAAATGGAGTAAGAGGCTAGAGGTAATCAATGAACCATACCCCAAAACACGTTAAAAAAAAAAATACAGGTGCCTATTTAACTGATTTTCAAGCAGGAGGAAACTTTCTAA